ATGCCGAAAGGGGCCTCCTTTAAGAAGCTGGTGTCCATTTACAGTGCATCTCTCATAAACTCGGCCACTGGGGTAAGGGCAGCGAGACCAGCCCTCCTGGTATGTGATTGATTATCTGGTATTTATGCCATTGAGGACTTTTCAGCAGTTGAGGGTCAAAGGGTCATCTCATGTGTCTTGCTGCAAATCCGCTTCCTTTTGTACAGTGAGGGCTGGGTGAGCAGACACACAAAAACAGCTTTTTCTTTTCCTTGGGAAAAAGGGGAGGGGGGCGGGCTGGTGTCAATGAATTTTTTTTTCAGCCCTTTCTGAATAGTGTCCTTTTTAATTCTAAAGAACTTTTAATTAAAAGTAGCAGGAAAGTTCATCTTGACAAGGTTTAACTTACCTTAACAGTTACTTTTGTGTCCTGGGATTCTTGCCTCTCTACTTAACGGAGAAAGAAAGAAAGAAAGAAAGAAAAGAAAATGGGGGGAGGGTCCCGTCCCCCCCACCCTTGCATTACTATTTAATGTCTTTATGATTTTACTGGGAAATCTTTTTTTTTTTTTTTTAATCAATTTGTAATAAAATAAGAATTGATAAATTCCACTTGCATCTCAAGGCAATCGGGGGGTACTGGTATCTTTAATCTGCTCAGTCCTTTAGGGCTAACACAGGCAACATCCTCCAGATTTTTAAAGCATAATTTTATCTACTAACATGTCATGCAGATGGTCCGGCATATTTTCTTGTTTCCGCTGCAGCTAGATGACAGTGGATATAAACAAAAGTTATATGGACTCTTCCCAAAGGATCCCAAAGTACTTTATTAAACTGATGAACTGTATAGTGGGCTTGCTTCACTCAACGCTGAAACGCTGTCAGCACTGGGGAGGAATGTGGCAGCTGTTTAAGAGGACAGAGGGACACAGTTTAGGGCAGGAAACAATGTCCATATCCAGTGAAATCCTAGAGGAAACCAAGTCACTGGATGAAACTGCCCTTGTTGGAATTTGAGCTCTACACGCGGCTCCGCTTCCCCAGCTTCCAAGAAGGTCGTGGGATTTTCATTTGGTTTGCATTACGGTAGCGTGTGCAACGTATCGGGCCCTGGACACGCACGAGAAAGAAACGGCCTTTAGCTCCGGAGAGCTTGTCATCTTTGTAAGGGCCGTGGGAGGCGAGGAGCCCACCCGCAAGACTACCCCACAGCTCTCCAAAGCCATCCTTGAGGCTCTGCAGACACGGAGGGTAAGAACTCCTCCCAACAAATTGCTAGTGCCATGGTGGTCTCCAGACCTTTCCTACCCCAAACCAGGACCACCTGAGACCTTTCTCAGGTTGAGATCCTCCAAGGTTATTGCACAAGGGCTACATCTATGGAGAGCTGCCAAGGAAGGCCCGTAAGCCTTGCCAGAGATGCAGACCTTGGACCCTCAGCACTGGGGAGTCCGAAGGTTGGAATTAGGGGGCTTAAAATAAAAACTCAGCTTTGCTGATCTCTGCCTCTTCTCTGGGCTGGTGTCCAGAGCTCAGGCTCAGGCTTCTTGGCATATGATTTATCGGCTTCGGTTGAATGGGGGTTGTCCTGACAGTTTCTGGTGGTCTCAAAAAGGCCAAATTAAGTTAATCTTTGGTTCTTTCCATCAGTTTAATTGTTTGCAAAGTGTGGAGAAGACTCGGAGGGTTTCAGTTAGCTGGCTGCCCCTGGGGTCTGGCTTCAGTGACTCTTCTTGTATCCTGAGCATAGCCTGTTGGGTTAATTCAGTGGGAAACTAGGACTGCAAGTGTAATGTTCTGACTCTGGCAACCACCTCTCCCTGTTCACCATACAAAGATGACCTGCAATGACACCCTTGTCTCATCAAAGTAAATGGCCACAAACCCTGTCTCCTAACTTGATCTTATCAAATGGTTGCAATGGGACAAGCATGGGAGAGGAAGTGAAGACAACTCCCTTAGGAATGGGCTTTAACCAGGACAGCACAGTAGTACATACTATTGAGGTGTAATGCTTTGCACTTAGCAATGCCTTTCATCCGAGGACCTAAAAGGGCATCTCAAACCTTTTGCACGGATTTCCAACAACCAACTCAACCATGCAGGCACAAGGAGATGCCGTTTTTGCAACGGGTTGTTTTGGCTCAGCATCAAAACCCACACTGCCAAGGCTTCCCCTTTCTTCCTGGGTGGCAGGAAGGCTGCAGATATAATGCAGCTTGACCCAGAGCAAAGCCTTTAATACGGTGTCTTATAAAATCTTACTTGAAGGGTTAAAATCTGAGCTGGCTCTGATATGACTGCTGCCACGTGTGCTGCAGACTGGTGGCTACGGGACTGTAGGTGAATGCCAAGGAATCGACCAGTGCTGGGGTGGACCAGTGAAGAAAAAAAGGGAGAAAAAACGTCCAAAAATGTTAGCAGAAAATAATTTTTTTTTCAACTGGTTTGACTTGAAATACTTAATGGGAAGAAGAAATCTGGAAGTCATGGTCATAGTGAATACATAGGTAGATGGTCGCAAAAAATGCCATGGCGAGTCTCATTTTGCTTGTGTAATAACGAATCTTAGGTCTATGGGAGGGATTGTTTCATCTCCGCTTAACTCTGACAATGATGCACCTAACATGCCAGACATTTCTGGTGCATTTGATGTGAATGAAGTGGCCACAATGCATAGAAGAGCAATAGAAATTGAGGCTGGGAGGCCCAGCTTGTGTGAGATATCAAAAGGCATAAATACGTGTAGGTTGGTCAAATGGAGACTCTCTCAGATGTGGAGGCCAGTCGAGAGATGTGTAAATATGAGGACGAGAAGCAGTATGAGCAGCTCAAGGAGTGCTGGAGCAGTACCTAGCCAGGCTGCTGCTTTGCCTAATATCAGGAAAATAATACAGTCTATACCGGAGAGTACTGGCTCAAGGGGAGATGGAGAATACCAT